CCCCACTGATCTCCGCAAGGGATGTGAGGACTCTAAAACTTCACCAGGGCCTCTGTCGGCATATGGGTGAGTAGATAATGGCTGAATTTTCATTTTTGGGTGCACTATCCCTTTAACTCCTCGAACAAGTTCTTCCCATTCCCAAACCATTGGTCCAATTATCAAAATAATGTGATGGTGAGAGAGATACACTTCTCCCAAAAGCATGTCATTTTTTATATATGTGGAATCAAAAATGTCATCACACGAGCGAGTTACGACATTCCTATGGGCTGCAGTGGCCATTTTAGTGTACCTAGGTGGTGCTAGAGAGCCCATTTTGGCACTTTAGGGGTTAATTCTTTCATTTTATCAAATTTTTCACCAGTCCTGACATTTTGGTGAGGATTTGAACATGTTTAGGAGTCAGATTTGGCCTGAAAGACGCAGCGGGAGAAAGAATAATGAATAAAGAAAGAAAGACCTTCGGCCGAGGTCCCTAATCAACAATAATTTTATCATTGTAAAACACACTTCTTCAAAAGTCCACAAAAACAAAATAAAACTCACAAAGGCCGCTTTGGTTTGTCTTTCCACTATTCCAACAATCACCAACTCTGGTTTGGTTAAAATAAAATCTTATTCATCCAGTTAGATGTGAAAATATACTGGCTCTGCACATGCTAAAACTACTGTTTATTTAAATGGAGTCTGGTGAAGTGGTGATAGCAATTTCGGGGCTGTTTTTGGTCAAACTAAAAGGATCTTTCTCTTTAGCACAAAGGTCTATCTCTGTAAGGATCCTTTTTATAATATTGTTAGACACTTATAATAATAATAATCTGAGCCTGCCAGTGACACAAACAAACACTTTTAGTGGACATACATTGAGGGTACACAATTGCCCCAAGTGATTATATCAGCCTGTTTCACTGCTGCAGACTGCTGCCCTCTTGTTTAACACTAAACCAGTTTCAAAAATTGTTGTTCCCATTAGTTACTTAGACACAAACATGTGGGAAAATGGGGTACAGACTGAAAGATAGCGAAGCTACCCTTTAATTAGGGATGGGTATTGTTAAGATTTTAACGGTACTACTATTTTTATCGATTCTGCTTATTGATCCGGTATTTTAACGGTACTCTTATCGATACTTTTTGAGGAAGAAAAAAACAAATTAAGATCATAAATTACTTTATTTTCTCAATTCTAATTATGCAACAAAATAGTTTTTTAACAAAACATTTTACTTTTTACAACTTGAAATGTAAAATAAATAAAATAATAGTGTTGTCACGGTACCAAAATTGGGACCAACGGTACGATACCAGTGAAAGTATCTTTTGTCATTTATAAAAAGATAAATCACTTTTCTATAATACATCAATGATATTTCTATGGAATAAATTACTTATTGACTTATTCATACTTCAAAAACAGCATCAATAAGTGATGAACATGGGGAGATCAAAATAAAATAAATAAATAAAATAAGAATCAACCAGCCACCCTCCTCCTCTGACAAGTCCCTTCATAAGTAAAGAACAGTCCCTTCATAAGTAAAGAACAGTCCCTAAAGTGCGGTGAGGTTTGTGGACCGTTACCTGCCACAAAGAGAAATGTGAACGGCTCCTTTCTCCTCTGACACGTCACATACCTGTGTGCCACCACGGCTCGGCTGTTCAGGTACTTCTGGACAGTCATGACACCAACAGAGAGGAAAATATTGGACCTGGAGCCGGGCTTCTCCGTCGCCGGTAAGCCGTTATCTTGTGTCGGAAACCCTATTTAGTAAATAGGGTCGCAAAATAGCTAATGGTTATTAACTCCACGTGTTGGCTGCTAGCATAATGTTACAAACCTGGACTGGTAAATGAACTAGCTGTGCTAGGGCAGTCAAACCCTGTACATCTTTCTGTCTGAATATGATGCACTTTCGCAAGGTGTTTTGACAAATTACTTGCGTTGCCGCCCTTACACGCAAAACATTTGTCACACTCGTGACAACGCGCTGTGTCTGCATCGACTCTTGTAATGTAAAGCCACACTTTCGACCGTTTGGCTCTCTCCGCCATCGTTATCTATCTAAAGGCAGGCTACGAGCTTGAGTTGGTGTATGCGCTGTCTCTCGTCTTCAGGGAGAATAGCGAAAATTATGATACAATGACGGATAACTGACGGAGTTGGTGAGATAAATGTGCAAGATAACGTTTATCTTGTTTAAAAAAAAAAAAAAACGCGACTGCTCCAGTACCGATAGCAGAACCGTTAAGGTCAGAGCTTATCAATACTGCGGTCTTGAAGAATGTAGCCCCGGGGCTCGTTCAATACCGGAGTTCGGTACCCATCCCTACCTTTAATCCTCAGTGAGTCAATGAAAAAATGAAGGCTACTAAAACTAAATAACTATAATCTCTCTTGTGTTTAACTAAACTCGACAGAGACTTTGGTCTGCATCTGTGAGTCAACCACACCCAGTTCATTTCTGTATAAGAAATGGAAATAAACAGAACTAGAAATAAATCTGCTTCAGCACCCCCAAAGAAGCCCATAGCACCCCCAAGAAATGCTCAAACAAAATTTCATTTTTTCACTGTCACTGAATAAAATTGTTTTTGTTCAATTGTGTGACATTATCTGGTGGTCATATTATTAATAGGCTATCTATGAATAGGCTAATGCATCAATTAGCGAACGTACCATAAATAATGTATTATTGGGTGCCTGATAATACATTATTTACGGTAGGTCCTGCCCAACAGCACCTAACCCCCCACCAGGTTGAAGTGATTGTGGAAAAAGTGTGGCGGGCGCTTTGATGAAAAAATGGAGCGGTGTTTAGTCCCAAGTGGCCTCGTGTGATAGAGGATCAAAGATCTGGAAGCAGATAAAATCTTCAATGCCTTTGCCAGCAATCACAATAACAGATGCATCATTCTTCTGTAAAGATGTCTAGTGATGAGTAACAACATATTAGCCTGCCATAGGCGCAGTACAGGGATTATTTTTATTATACTCTGGCATAGTTGATAGTGTTGTTGTGTTGCGTTAGTGTGGGCTCTTTCAGGGCCAAGGACAGTGTCCATGACCAGCCACACTGTGTGGTCCCTCTAATTCCACAATGTGCATGATTTTTTGTTGATTTGGACCCTGCATGCTTATATTGGTAGGCTATATCCACAACTCCTTAGCACCTCCAATTAATAAGCAAACCCACCCCCCAGCACCTCCAGTAAAAATCAGCTGCCGCCGCCACTGAATCTAGGCCAGATTTGGTAAGAAGAAATGAGCCGAAGCCAGCTCACATATGGCCCTAGGGAGCCAGAACACAACCGAGTTAGAAAACACAATTGGGCCGAGTCCAGTGGCTGCCAGGGTATTTGCATATTGAGGTAATCTATATTGAAATTAAGATCCTGAATACATTTTAAAGTCTGCTAGCGAAGTAAAGGTACTTCCAATTATGTGTTAGCAGCTAACAGACTAAGTACTAAAAAACTGACACATGGTTGTAGCAATTATGCTGTCAAAGGTCCTTCCTGCCTGCTGCTGTCAGGCTACATAACCAGCACTGCTCACAATAAACTGCACCATAGACACTTTATGGACACCATTATAGGTATTACTGCCCCCCTTGTTGTTGTTTTTTGTACATACAATCACTTGCACTAGATTTGCTCTCTTTAATCCACTGCTCATTTTTATTTACTGCTCATTATTATCCACTTCTCATCATTATAATTATTATTATTATTATTATTATTATTGTTATTTATCACCGTTTCTTGTATTTTTGTACTTTATTTTGCATGCCTAGTTTTTAAGTTTTAAGTTTTTTAAGTTTAGATTTTGAAATCTTTAATCTGACTCTTTACCCTTGACTGCTGTAACACTGGATTTTATCAATTGTGGGATCAATAAAGGTGTATCTTATCTTATCTTATCTTATCTTAAATAACGCTCCAAAGCTGCACTAAAGTTTTGCGAGGAAAAAAGGAAGTTTGCCATTTTCAATTTGGTGTATGGTGCATACTAAGATCCCTGAACTGTCTCTGAATTACATTAACTGGGAATGACTGGTTCAGTTCAGCACACAGTTTGACTAATATTTGATTAGCCCTCAAGATGGAGTGAACAAATGAAGAGGAAAAAATTATTTGTTCACTCACGATTTCAGTAATTTCTTCAGTCAATGTTTGATTTGACTTTTCTCTAATCATTCATTGAAGGACATTTTTTAAGTCCCAGAAAAACATGTGAGTACCTCTGCTTTTCAAAATAAGAATAAGGTCTTAAGACAGTAGATACAACCTACATGTGGAGATATGCTTGATTGGATTGGATGTCCCCCTGCTGTGTTGATCTGGTTTAATACTCAGAATACATGTTCCTGTGACCAGAGAGATTGGTATCTGTCTGTCAACATCATTATTTACCACAACTACAATAACCCAGTGATGGGCAGAGGTGACTAAATAAAGGAGCCGCTGAACATGCAGTTCAACAGATAAAAACAAAAAATAGAAAATTAAATAAAGTGGTGTTCTATCAACATTATGATTAGATGTGGCATCTTTATCTCGCTGATGTGTTTGTCTCATTCATTCAGGATGTGTGAACCACTCTTCACTGGACTTGACTGTTATCGCTTAAGCAGCTATTCTCTAATCCTCGTAATACATTTTCCAAAGAGGTCACAGAGGGTACAAAACAAAGCTGTAGCTGTGGCATCAAGCAGGGCCATTGTTTGTTTGCTTTCTGTCTGTGAGCACTTAACATTTCAAATCCAGTGGTGTTCCTAATTTCATACGTATTTTACTTTGTCATGATTTCCAAAGATTTTAGAGTGTTTTTCATGATCAGAAATGGATGGATGGATGGATGGATGGATGATGGATGGATGGATGGATGGATGGATGATGGATGGATGGAGCTTTCCTTCCTAGCACACAAAGCAGTGACGCAAATTCAGCTATGGAATCCTTCAAGACTGATAAAGAGAAAAAAGGCCCCATCTTACCATGGGAGCTGGCTTTGCTCCTGTAACAATGCAAACCAGAGTGAAGTTCTGTGCCTCATAGCGACTGAAAGGAGCCGGGCTGTCAGCTGCCACCACAGAGATAGACTTGGGAGGTACTGCAGAGAAAATACAAAGAAGACACTCAAACATGGAAGTGCTTTTTATTAATTGAAATAAAATAAACAGACAATCTAAGCTTTGAGGTATTTATCTAGTAATGAAACAATCAGGGTTAAGTGGTGAGTCAGTATGCAGGGGATATCTCTGAGCTGAGACTGCTACTTGATCATCATGTGGGAACATTTCAGTCAGTTTAACTATACTTTTAACTAGAGATGTACCGATACCACTTTTTCCTTCCCGATACCGATTCCGATCCCTGAACTTTAGGTATCTGCTGATACCGAGTACCGATCTGATACCAGCGCATAAAATAAAAATGGATGGGATATGAATTGTTTTATGTCTCAACTCCTAAAACTCTATGTAAAATATTAAGAAATAAATACATAGTTGTAGAATTAATGCCATAAAACTTTTTTTTATTATTATTATTATCCAATGTTGACACAGATCAAGACACAGGTTAAAGTGCAGCCACACAATTTGGTTAAAAAAAAAAAAAGGCATTTTAAAGGCTACAGTAGAATGTAGGGCTTGTATTAACAAATACAAAAAATTTCACCAGATGACTTAAAGTAAGAAAATTGAAAAATAGTGGCGGGTGTGCCTTTATTTCTGTGCACCTCTCTCCGATCATGTGGATGTATCATACATGGCAGTGTGCCCTCAATTTATTTTACTTTATGTGTGTGTGTGTATATGTGTGTATGTGTTTGTACACGTGTATATATGTATATGCATATATATTATTTGTTTACTTTTTTGTTTGTTTTCTTTGTGTGGGATGTGAATCTCTCACCTGTATAAATTTAAAATTTGAATCTTGATATATGTGTGTGAGCCAAATGTATGTTTGTTTGTACTGTCATATATGTTCATGTTTTATCTTGAAAATTTATTTTAAAAAAAAACAGTGGTGGGGCTTTTACTGACCACAACTACAGAGGCTACCAGCTTCATTTGAAACAGACTACATTATAAAAGGGCCGTTATTTATTATTCCCTCTGTGTCTTTATATTTTTATCGGCTCCTGTTGCCTTGATAAAGTTAATACATCGCGCCATCAATACAAACTCAACATTTCCAGAACTAGTTTCAAATTAAAAGCCCTTTATAACCTTGGCTGAGAGAATCCCTCCATTTTCTAAATAGGCTTTTATTGTGAAACATTTATAGGAACTTGGTTGTGGAGGATACAGTGGCTTGTATGTTTACATATGGCACTTCAAATGGAGCTCCTGCCATCTGCTGGCGCTTTTTAGGTGACTAGAACATTTCGGCTGGCACATGAACAGACACAGTGACTCAAATAATAGTAAAAGTAATAAAGATAGGACAAGAATAACCCGATGACATCACACATGTCGTGAAAGACGACTGGGGATAATTGGTGAGTACCATCATGTAGTGTGTCATGTCTGTCGGCCAAGTCACGGCACGATTTTATAACTCCACAATCATATAATGTGAAATAGTGACTTTCAGAACGGGCAGAAAAGTTGTGTAGTGTATAAAAGGCATAAATCCTCCTTTACAGTTTCTCACCCTTGTATGTCGCTCATTTTCAGTGTGTGACTGCAGGTGTGCATGAGAGGGGGAGGGGCTGCTGTTGTCAGAGAGGAGAGCAACAGAGAGAGAGGCGAGTGGAACGGAGCAACGAGCGGAGCTTCAGATCTGCTTTTCTGAAGCAAAACAGAAGTTTACATGTTCTAAGAAAGAGAAAACATGGCATGTCCTGCGATGTGACTATCGCACATGCGCACATCGCGATGGCAATGTTCAAACGATAGTGTGCGTGGTATCGGATTGGTCGTAGGCTGTACTTGCCGATGCCCGATGCCGCATTTTAGGCAGTATCGGAGGCATTTCCAATACTGGTATCGGTATCGATACAACTCTACTTTTAACAGAGAAATATTTTAGAAATATGCTGATCTGCGTTCTTTTCGAGGGTGAGACGTTCAGATGGATCTCAGCCTCATGTCTGTGCAACAAGTACAGAGCCAATTTTAGAGTGTGGTTAACCTAGCCTAGCATACAGACTTGAAGCAGGGGAAAAAAGCCAACCTCGTTCTTACCTAAGAGAAAGAAATATGCCTGTTGAAGGTATGGAGATGTCCATGTTATATTAAGTGTTAAGTCACTATACATTCTGACAGCCATCACCGACAGCTAAGTATTTGGTTAGTAACTTGGGTCTCACAGTCTCAACACTCCAACAGAATTTAACTTTGTGGAGTTCTCTCCCTTGATTGAATCAAGTGGGAACGGGATGCCAGAAATGTAGAAACCTAATCTGACGCTTAAATTTGCTAATTACCAACTGTTAAATTTCTAATCTTTTGTCACGTTTAATTTAGCTACGTGTTTTGAAGGATTGTTTACACTCAGACATGATTGATGTACTCACACCACAAATAAACTAAAAACAGAAACCAGTACATTTCCAAAACTAAAATCTTCCTGTCGCCAACAGATCCTGCATAGCTTATCTATCTGAGTTCATGCTTATCGATGTGTTTATAGAGATTACCCACAGGATGAATCCAAAAGAGTTTTGTAATCACTTGATGTTTCCGCTAAAGATATGGTCTAATAAATAAATCCATACCTATGACATTGAGGGTGATGCTGCCAGAGGCTAGAATCACTTTGTCTGTGGAGCTCCTGTCATAGATCCCCACATGGCACTCATACAGGCCGTCATCCTCCATCTGGACCTCGGGAAGCCTAATCATATACAGTTACAAAGATCACAGAGTGTGTTTTCTAATAATACCTGTTATTTTCACGTCATGTCCTTAAGATGAGACATAGTGGAAAATCCCATTGGTTTTACTGTAATCTCAACTCTCTCTACTATTATTCCTCCACTGATGAAAGAAAGCATGCTACAGGTGAGAATGTTCCCCAAAACTTTTCTGTCTCTCAAAGGATATGGCTTATTAGAACACAATACAACTTGAACATTAATAGCGGACTGTCTCACCTCACTGTCGACTGGTAGACCAGGTCCTCTTGTCTGCGGTTGTCCTCCAGATGAGAGTAGCTGGTGTTGTACATGGCATCATAGGTGAAAATCTTCTGCTTGGCACTGCCTCCTTCACTCACCTGAGAGGCAAAAGTACATTAGCATTACTGAGTTAAATACAGCAGCTGTGATCATGTAGACATGAATTAAAAATTAATATTAAGAGATTAATATTAAAAAATCTTTTGGTCTATGTCATATATCAGTGAAAGGTTGCTGTAGACCCAGTGTATGTCTTAAAATAGCTTGTTTTGTGTGGACAACAGTCCAAAAACTACACTCCAGTCAGGACCACTTTTGTCAAAAAAAAAAACAAACTGTATTCCCATTTGCAGTATTATATTTGGTGGCATGGCTCTGTTGCCATTCTGCCTTTCTTCGTGCCAAAGCAGAAAGTCTCAGGCAGTGAAAGCACACCTCTCCGCTCTTCCTCATGCATACGAGGAAAGCCTAAGGCAGAGAGAACAAACCTTCCTGCCCTTCCATGCGCCTACATAGAAAGCCTAAGGCAGGTAGAGCAGCAGCAAAGACCCCCATGGGAACAGGAATGAAGGTGGTTTGCAAAGCAGCTTGCAGAGGAAGCAGCAATAGGCAGGTCAAAGCAGTTTAAATAGGGCACCCTGAATGAGATTTGCCAATTGGTTGCAAATAAAGGAATCGTGATCTTTCAGCTGACTTCTTTCCACCAATCAGCTGATCCATCAGTTGATTGGGCTGCTTGAGATCAGCTGATGTAGCTGGGATGTGAGCTGAGCTTGACATCGGGTGTTTCTCAATGTCAAGGATCCTGCAGAGGCAAGGCAAGGCAAGAGTCCTCCCTAGCATTCAGTAAACATACATCGGAACAGGCTAACAAGTGTCCCCAGGTATATGTCATTAACCCTCAGCAGACTGAGGAGGTTTCAGGGTACTGTGATCATTTTGGCACTTTCTAATGTTGTTGTACAGTTTTAAACAAATGTATCAGTATTGTCAAAATCACGTGACTTTTAGGGAGAATATATTTCTGGATCATATTTAAGAGTAAGTGGGATAATGAAGTAAAGACAGCAGCTTAAAAAGTTCTAAATTATCACTAACAGTATAACCACGGACTCACACACAGAATTATTTTGTCATTTCAAAGTGATCCATATTTTATGTGTGTGTCACTGCTACAATAATATGAATAGCAGATCTGATCTGATGAGCTGCGCTGCTCTGAAACAGCTAACCGCGCCGATTATACATTATACTGCCGTTTTCACCGCGATTCCCCCCGAAAAAAACATCGATTGAAACTGACAGAATGAAAGCACGTTGTTATCATGTGAATAGTGGGGGGAGGAGGACACTTAGCGCTCTATCTCTGCTGTGAATGATTCATTTAAAAACGTTTATGTTTTATCTAAATCACGTTATATCAAAAAATCTCTATGTGGCAGTGGACGCATTGGAAAGTGTAAAGTATGAGGTTTCTGTCAATATTTTTTTTCACGCTTGTATGATAAAAACTCCTGGAGACATTAATCCAAATAAATGATGTATTTATCCAAATCTTGCCGAGCTCTACTGGCGCGGGTTTCAATAAAGAGGCCCTGCCCTAACTTCCAGCAAATTGTGTCCCAAGCATTGTGAGGATTTTATACCCGCGGAGGCTCTAATATTGCTTTAGCTAAAAAAAAAAAAAAATTATGTCAAACAGCCACAAGTAATAATTTAGACACTCACTCTCAATATCGCAGATCAAAACATATTTATAATTCCACACCCTGTGTTGGGGCATAAATTATTAAATCATGCTGACAAATTCTTACAGAGCAAAAATGATTAGATTGTGTCAACACATTTGTTTTTTTTTCTCTTCATGACACCTTCTGGGCTCTGGAGATGATCAAAACTGGTTGCTAGTAGTTGATGAACATGCTAAACATTATTGTGTTAGCATTGTCATTGTGAGTATGTTGGCATGCTGACATTAGCAATAAGAGCAAAGCACTTCTGTGCCTATACACAGGCTCCCAGGCTGCTAACTAGACTTAAATCTAAAGGGTTACTTTGGTATTTTCCAACTTGGACCCAATTCTCCCATGATTTTGTGTCTAAGTGACTAATGTAGACAACAATCTTTGCAGCTGGTCCAGTGTTGAGTGAGACCACTGCAACCAGCAGCAGCAAAAGCTACCACGATTTGTCCATGCTGGCAAATGTGTACCGTCAATTTATGCCCACTAAAAGTGTTTGTTTTTGCCACTGACAGGCTCAGATTGTTATTATAAGTGTCTGACAACTTATGTAAGGGATCCCTACAGAGGTCAACCTTTTTGTTAAATTATAAGATCCTTTTTGTTCAACAAGACACAGCCCTGAAATTGGCATCACCAAACACATGAGACCCCATTTAAATTAACAATAATTTACCATGTATAGAACCAGCATACTTTCACATCTAATTGGGTGAATTTAAAGTAAAGTTCCACAAAATCATAACTGGTGATTGTTGGAACAGTTTAAAGACGAACCAAGACAGTTTCTGTGAGTTTTATTTTGTTTCTCTCTTTTCTTCTTTGAATGAAGTGTGTTTTACAATAACAAAATCAATGTTTATTTAAATGGAGTCTGGTGTGTTCCACCAAACACTTTCAGTATAGTACCTATGGAACCAAAAGTAACCCTTCAGACATGGTATGCAGACCCTGGGTCTGTTTAGTGTTTCCACAGGAAACAGTACTCTTAGATGTGGGCAGAGTTGTTGTCACTCAGTGCTCCATCCAGCACTCACTGTATTTCCTCATTACCCATGACACAGAGGAAAGTCTGCATCTCATTTATCGTCCACAGAATGGGGTTACACAAGATATTTTCAGAACCAAACAGAATAGGCTGACAAATTTGGGGGTTTAGTGTTACTGGAGCCCACAGGAACAACGCTCCATGACGCTTTTTTATTCTCCAAGTGTGGATTAGAATGCAGTTCACATAACCTGGTCAAAACCAATTTGGCTGAAGATCCACTCATCACTAAAAGTGTATGTCATATAAAAGCTAGAGTAATGGTCAGAGTTGTAAGTGAAATTATTGTTGATTGATTCCCGTCGTCAACTCATGCATTGAGTAACATCACAAGTTAACATTCCACCTTAAAAATTGCCAGCAGTCGGCCCAGTGAATTAAGCCATTGTTTCTCTACAGCAGCAAAACATCCTGTCAATTTATAGTTACAGTCTACTAATAAGACTCTCCAAAGTATGAACAGAGATTACATAAGCCTGTGTGAGTGGCGGTCCAGATGGAGGATGACTGACTCCAGTGTTCACAGCTCCACCTTTTAGTATCAGATCAGTGTGCTAGTTACCCCAACAGAAGGGGTACCAAAAATGGGAGCAGTATGGAACGGTTCCATTGGTACCATCCACAACTTTTAGCAGTGCAAACAGAAAAACAGAACTGTACCGTACCGTACTGCTTGGCAGAAATGAGGCTTTAGAAACAAAAACATGTGAAAATAGTTTACAGGTTGAAAAATACTGGTTACCCTTTAAGTCCTGCTTGTGCCTACAAGAACCAAATAAATTGGGGCGTTGGTGGCTTAGTGGTAGAGCAGGCGCCCCATGTACAAGGCTGTTGCCGCAGCGGCCTGAGTTCGAATCCAGCCTGTGGCCCTTCACTGCATGTCATCCCCCCTCTCTTTCTCCCCCCTTCATGCTTGTCTGTCCTGTCCATTAAAGGCAAAATGGCCAAAAAAATATATTTCAAAAAAAAAAAAAAAAAGAAACAAACAAATAAATTACCATCAAGGAGAACACATACATCTACATTTTACCCAATTCTAACACAGGACCAACATTCTTGACAAAACAGGGATAAGGCAAAACTTACTAACCTGTATGTGTGACTCTACAATCAACAGGAAAATTCTCAAACAGACACAGTGAGGGCTGATAGATAACTATAGACAGAAGTTGGCAAGCACTTGTTACTACATTAGGTTCACCTGTGAGCTCACCTGAAACCACACAATCTCTCGGAGGTTGCCGTCTGTTCGGAAGTTGCACTTGAGTGTGACTGTGTCTCCAATGACAACAGGAGGAAGAGGTTCAATGGAAACAGTTAAATAACCTGCCAAAGAGAGGAACATGGGAGACATTTGGAAATCACATTACTTTCTCCCAGTGTGGCCCTTGTAGTGAACAGATAGATATGTTCTTATGGATTTACAAACCAATCAAATCAAATCAAATCAAATCAAATCAAGTTTATTTATATAGCACATTTAAAAACAACCACAGCTGACCAAAGTGCTGTACAAGATAAAAGAATGACACACAAATATATAGCAATACAGAATGTACACAAATATAAAACAGAATAAAACTGGTAAGAACGATTACAAACATGAAAAGACAAGATGAAATGCTAAAATATTAAGATCACTACAGACAACCAAAGGCCATTGAAAACATGTACATTTTAAGATTTGTCTTAAAAGTGTCATTTGAGGGGGGCATTTTATTTAAAGGGGAAGGCTATTCCAGAGCTTTGGAGCAGCAACTGCAAAGGCACGATCTCCCTTACCCACAAGCCTCGATTGTGGAACAGTTAAAAGATAATGTTCAGAGGATCTAAGAGGTCGGGAGTTGGAGTAGGGGCAGAGGAGTTCAGCGATATACTGGGGTGCCAGCCCATGTATTGCTTCAAAAACAAATAAAAGAATCTTAAAATCAATCCTGAATTTGATGGGTAGCCAGTGCAGAGATGCTACCGCTGGCGTAATGTTGTCTCTTTTCCTGGCACCAGTGAGAAATCTTCCTGCAGTGTTCTGCACCAGCTGCAAACGAGACAAAGGTGATTGGCAGACACCTGAGTTCAGGGACTTACAGTAGTCCAGCATTGAGGAGATGAATGCAGTGGTTACAGTCTTGAGGTCATTGTGTGAGATGATGGACTTGAGTTTATATGAAATAACAGCCCTTCACCACAGTGTTGATTTGTTTGTCAAATTTAAAGGCAGAGTCAAAAATGACACCAAGATTCCTGGCATGGCTATGAACATATGCTATGAGTGGTCCTACGTGACTGACTATGCTGTATGCTTGCTGTGTTGAAGGGGGGACCAAAAACAATAACCTCTGTTTTGTTATTGTTTATTGAAGACAGTTTGTAGCCAACCAGGATTTCACATCCTGGAGGTAGTTTGGGAAGGATGTGATGGAGCTGGAATCCCCTGGGTTTAACAGAAGATAAATTTGTGTGTCGTCAGCATAACACTGTATTGTTTAATACAGGGGTGACAAGGTTTGGCTTTTTAATGAGAGGCTGGACAATAGCATGTTTAAAACAGGATGGTACAGTTCCATTTGTGAGACTACTATTGATAATGAGGGAGATTATGGGACCTACAGTCTCCAATACATCTTTTGAGAGGAGTGTAAGAACAGTGTCCAAGGGGCAGGTCGTAACTACCGGGTAGTTACGGTGTAATCTGTTGTACTAACGGTGTACCAGTGTAGTACGTACCAATACATATATGTAGGTACAGGGGAACAAGATGTTAAGTTATGGAATAAGGGGCTAACAATTC